CTTCTGACGCTGGATCTTTTTTCATTGGGCGGCAAAACTTAACTGTGGAACTTTATAAAAGGCGGTATTTTTTGTCTACCAAGAGGGAGGAGAAGGAGGAGATTGTGAAGGTGCGAGATGAAGACGCTGCATAGAGAAAGACAGTAAGAGTGGAGTAAAAATGCAAACTTGTGGGAGTTTATCGTGCAAGCTTTCTTTGGTCTCCCAGTGTGTATAAAGGAAGTGATTTTCTTTCTCTTTGATGTTGTAGCTGCAAAATTTAAGCTAATCTCTTTTTTTCCCCGGGCTTGGCATTTTCGCCCGGCATCCCGATGAAGAGTACCTGCATGTGTGTGAGCTGAAATACACCAAGTCTTCGAGGGGCTGTGTGGAAGAATTGATATCTATTTTTTTGTTCTGAGTGAGGAGGCCTCATATCGTCATGTGCCACCGGATTACAAAAAAAAAGGAATATCTCTTCAGTATTGTTGGTATCCAATAAAGCAAGAATTAAATCTGTTTTCACGTGTTTGTCACTCTCTCGTCACGGCGGGTTATAGACCTGGATCTTGTCCTGGGGTAAGTTGCCACTATATTCCTGTTTATCACAACATGTGACATATACGTTTGCCACCACAACCAACGAAATCATCAAACATTACCATACTTTGGCTTTTCCTTCAGCAAATTCTACTTTTCAGCCTCTTTCTTCAATTCTACCAATGGATAAAAGATTTCCTCCTAGTTCTGGAACATATTGGACATCTTCAATAGCGACATTTTTTTCTCCAACAGAAAATGAAATATTTCCTATTCCAGTGACCTTTATTCTTTCTGAATTAGCAAACTTCAACTTCAGATGTGTATTTCTTAAGGTCTGAGAATTTTCTTTTATCAGATGTCATGTGTTCTGTAGTTCCACTGTCTAAAATCCACAGATTACTTTTCCTTGATTTTTCTTTGTTTGCCAGAAGTGCAATGCTTGTCTTGAGGTCAACTGCAGTTTTGGTACTGTTTTGGTTCTGATATTTGGCCTCTTCACATTTTTTAGAGATGTGCCCCCACTGGCCACAGCTGAAGCATTTAGTATTTCTTCCTCTGTTAGTTTCTTCTTCATTTGGCCTTTTTTTAGCTGCATACTTCTTCATGAGTTTTCCAAATGCAGGTTTCTTCTGGCTGGTGGCAAAACTTTTAGTGTGAAGAGCTTGTTCTTTATGATACACTTTGGCTGAACTCTCAATTTCTAACTATACGTTTCTCTTCTACAAGTAGCCTTGGTTTCACAATCTTAGTTGTCAGATTTGCTTCGTCTTTTTCCAAACTTAGGATGAGCGATTCATAACTTCTAGGCAGTCCCAATAGCATCACTAGGGCCACTTCTCTATCTGTTAATGCATATCCACCATTTGCTAATTTTCTATGTAAGTCCATTAATCTTTCTAGAAAGGATTAGACAGACTCATTTGGCTTCATATTTATGTTAAAGAATTCTCTCATAAGTTACAGTATGTGAAGCAAACCAAATTTATATGCATTTCTTTTAAACAGTTCCAGGCGTCTCTGGCTCTAACACAATCTCCAATATCATCTAGAAATGTATCTTCAACTATGAGGAATAATAGGGCAAGAGCTTCGTTATTCTTTTTCCTCTCCGCTTCATTCATTTCAATTCCATATCCGGGTTCCACTGCTTCCCAAGATCTCTTCTGCACCAGCATGGCACGTGAACGGATACACCATGTGTGATAATTGTTGCCGTTTGGTTTTGGCATTTTATAATCTTCAGATGTCATTCTTCAAGTAAATATATCGAGCTAAATTCACCAAAAAAAATTTATTTTCTTCATCAAAGGATGGTTATCCAGCTCACTTCAGAGTCCCAACGTGGTTAGGCTTCAGCGCGATCTTCAATCCTGGATCGTTATGGCATTTCCTTTTGAGCTTCGTGCTGATAACGTGTTAAAATTTAAATTATTCGTGTGTTAAATAAATGGCATAGTCCAGGCTGAACAATTAATTATATTGGGAATATTTTGGTTACATGGAAACGAGCAACCACAGTAATGCACACCAGATAAGGGCAACATGACAACACACTGTTGCCAACTAACATTAAGTAAATATTGTGATTGGCATGCATATCTGTTTTTTTTTAATAGTATTTTTAAGTGAAAATAGGTCGATGTGTACATGGATAGCGAGTATGTGCAATTTTTAAAAATGCGCCAAACAGTGGGCAATTCTGCACTTTCCCCGAAATTTAATTATTTTTGTATTGTAGCGGACTTGAAAATTTGTCTTGCAATGTAATACTGCAAAAACATTTACATACTCAGTTATAGACCAAGTGCATAACCAATTAGTTTTAAGTTTTTCATTTACCTCAAACATGCATCATAACACCCGTTTTCGGTACTTTTCCGTTTCGCCGGCGCAAATCTCGCCAAGCAGGCTTTGTTGGCGACAACATACAGTATACACATAAAAAATAGTTATTCTAAGAATTTTTTTTTTTTATTTTGAAGGCATAAACATTTTAATATGGTTTAAAATTTTGTAAAAAGCCAATAAATAAAGACAATAAATTTGTAAAAAGACATTAATTAAAGAATTTACTATGATTTCATGGTTCAAAATCCTGATTCGCCGGTTCGTATCACGTGACCCCAAGTGATCTCATCTCACGTAAACTACGCTACTAAAATCTAATTTTCTCAGTAATTATCTACATTAATTTCAAGTTAAATCTTAATTTGGAATACAAGTTTAAATGCAAGAATTATTTCAATTCGTACGAATAGCTTACTCAGAAATTATGTAAAACCGCAGTGCTTTACTTCGCTAGTGCATTCTCATTAGAATTGATGAATTTAACACTTGATTTCGCCTTCGGATGAGCGGTGTAATTGCGTTCTAATTGACTTAATTACCGTGAATTGTCTTAGGGGATAAAATTTAAATATCGTGTAAAAATTCTATATTATTGTATGCCAGTATTGAAAGAAACAATCTGATAAGAAATGGCTTCAACTTGTTTTGAAACTGAGGCGTAAAAGGTTACCAGCGAAGATATTCCGTCTGGCATCAGTTAAACCATTATTGGCGACTTTATCGTTTGCGCCGGCAAAACGGAAAAGTACCCCGTTTTCATTTTTAAAGGAAATTATGGATTTAAGGGGGGAGGAATCCGAAATGTAAGAGTCTCCCTTACAGAATCTCACTTTTGGAACAGCATAACGACACCCAAAAGAAGGTCTTTCAATAATTTACATGCATTCATTAAAAGATATTATCCTTAATCAACCTGGTGAACACAACTTCTAAGAGTTCTAGTGGTTTTCCGATATCTGTTATGTAAATGCATGCCAGTTTTCCTTAAAAAAAATCCTTCATGAACCTACCCTTCCCCTTAGGCAGACAGCCATCACATGCTTTGCCATAACCCAAATCCAAAATTTTAATGTCTAGTTTGTCCTATACTTGGTATTTGTGTATCATTCCATTAATCATAAAACTGTCGCCAAACAGTAAGATTTAGTACCAATTATGGATGAACGTGAAGTAAAAACACACTCATAACGTGTGCTTTCGTTTTGATATAATCCCAATTGATTCTCCATAAGTCAGTTTTGTTTTTATGTACAAGGATCTATATTAGCTGTTATTGCTGTATTTTTTCTTGCATTTTGAAAAAAAAAAAAAATTAAACTTGCCATCTAAAGATCAAGAAGTAGTGGATTATTTTGTAAGTTATGGAATCCTATAATAAAAAAAGAGTGTATTAATGAACACAATACAGTCAGGTGAATAATGAATGACAAAACAATAACAGATAGGAACAATTACCTGTAGGAAGTTTGTATTTATAACATTCTAAACAGAGATTATAATAAAATTCAATGTACTAGCAAAATAGTACAAACTATCAAAAGCCTTTTCACAAAAAGCAAAACAAAACAGGTCCATTGTTTATTGAGGAGGCAACAGTTCCTTTAAAATTTCTTTTCAGAAACTAATGGCACAACTTTGGTGGGATTTCCACCAAATGTTCTCACGGTTCAATGGTAGACAACGTTCATAGTCGATAGGATATTACATAAGTACCATTTATTCTTTTAAACGATTCTAATATCAGTACCTTTGCTGAGTGGAAAGGAGTATGTCTAGGCTGAAAGTGATAGCAACTTAGTATACGCTATGTTAATTATTAAAAAAAAAAAAAGGGTAACAAATTCTCTTGCATTTTCGTTGAAGAAAAATATTATTGCTAAAAAAAAACTGGAGTACTATACCGAGATCATAAACAGCTTTGTTTTACAAAATACAAATAAGAGTTCTTGGCTAATCTTTGGAATATGGTCACAGGTAGTTTGGCGACATTTTGGTAAGGCGATAAAGGTTACTTAGCTAGGACTTTAGCAGTGTACATGGATAAAGTCAAGAGAGTGCGCAATGCCATTTTTGTGCAATTCTGGGATGTTTTTTAAGTGAAAATAAGTCGACGTGTACATGGATACCGTGTATGTGCAATTAATTCTTAAAAACGCGGCAAGCAGTGGGCAATTCTGTACTTTCTCCCAATTTTGCACCTAATCTTTGTCATGATTAAGCACTTTTCTTCCATAAAAGTTCTAGCATAAGCGTAATTCGGCTAGCAGATTGTTGGAAAAATGCTGAGTATAAAAAAAAAAAAGAAACATGCCTTTACTTCGTTAAAACAAAATGGCGTCCAAAAAAAAAAAAACTAGCAGGTTGCTGTAGCAGGGTTGGTCGCCAAATTTTCGCCAAAAATCGCCAAGTTACCATAATTCAAAGATTAAACGAAATATTTTACAGGTGTACTATAATACATACAGCCTGATATCATTTGGTAAGCATTTCAAAACTTATGCAACATGCTCCTTTTGAAAGGGGGACAGCAGATATAAAATTAGTGGATACAAGTAACATGACTATATAAAAATCCATTTACACAGAATATACAACTTTTAAATAAAATTTCCAATTACCAAAGTACATACTTTTTCTTGCAATACATATGCGAGGCTGCTAAACTTTCCTTGTTACGAACAGGGCGAGAAAACTGATCATTAAAATAGTCATCAGCACAACAAATAACAGCAGAAGCATAACGATCTGTAAGCATTTTGCTTAATGTATTTTTGCCAGTACCTGGTGGGCCACGTACTATAAACATAATACGGCCATGATTTTCAATGAAATTAATAGTGTTCGATTCCACAGTAAATGGATACTGAAATATATCTTCCGAGTCGGCATCAGAGCCAGGAATATATTTCTTCTGATGACTTTCTAGTTCCATATCCTATAATAATCAAAATAGTTAAAACAAATACATACAATTAGATTTCAGTTTTATAAATGCAAATGTGATTGTATGAATTGTATCAAAATAGTACCAGCAAAGTGAAATGTAAAATTTTATGTAATTGTATTATATGAAAAAATACTTAAGACATAATTGCATACAGTATACCTTAATTTTTGATAACAAATTCAAAACATAATACTTACTCATAATAATATTTTTACTTTGCATAATATACAGTGATTATAATTTAAGCTTCAGTTTTAAAGTGCTGTAGTATATGATGTGATACTTGAGTATATACAAAGCAATGGACCTTGGTTTACCCAAGGGGGAAAGAAAATTTCCAACATGTGCTGTTATATATAGCACTATATTCTTTTTTAACTCGCAAACATGCGCGCCAAAATTACAAACACAAGAAGGCGCACTGGGTATGTCATACCTGAAAGCAATGAACACATTTTAAATTACATTTCATATGAGTATAATTGTGGATTAACATAAAAACAATGAATTTTAGAATATTTTAAAGAATATAATAAATGAAGTACTTAACATACAATTATTTTGCACATCTCTGGCAGACTGAACACATATGCTCTACACAAATACTGATATTGCATTTCTCGCACAGAAACCGTGTCTTTCTGTCCTTGTTTTTGGGGCATTCACAGCATCTTCTGTAAACGTTTTTCATCTTTTTAGATGGTGGTTCCATGTTGCAATTTCCTGAAATTATTTTTTCTTTTAGTTTTAAAGGGAGCACGATTTGCTGCTGCTGTCGATTTGAATAATCTTCCACTCTCAAATAACCAGTATTTCCTAGAATTTTAAAGATAATGCTTTTAGAACTAGTTTGGAACATTCGTTCGGAATTTGTTTTTCTTCCATACCAAGCCATTTTTTAATTATAATTGCTGCTGTGTTCATCTATTAATTTTCCATCTGTTGAAATTTTTCTAGCATATTTCTCAACCTTTTCTATTTCTTTATCGTAACTTAGAAAGAAGGCGGGCCATGTTGACTAACTAAGAAATTGAGGGTGAAAATCTGAGAGACGGAAGAAGGCGTGCGGGTGTCAAATACCCAAACGGTATAATTTCTAGAAAAATATTCGAAGAATAACTCCATGGATTTCTCAGCTTCATGAATGTGACCTTGAATTCAGCTACAAAAGGTTTCATCCATTTCCATGAAAGGGGTTTTGAGATAAAGGAAAAAGAATATGCCCCCCGGTATGAGATAACCAGTGCGCATACTCGCAGGTTAAACTGGTCGCTGAAGTGGAAAAATTAGCCACTAGATTTTTCATGGATTCAATTCACATATGCACAATGCATAAGTTCCCATTACTCTGCGTCTGAGTACCTCATAATGGCTCTGTCACTTGAAGGACTGCACATGCAGATTCTTTTACCAGAATAATGACTACACATTAACTGTTCTTAGGAAGTTCCAGACAAAGAAGGATCCAGTATCTATAAACATTCTAGATAAAATGATTCCCAAATTTGAAGAGGCCAGTTCATTGGATGTGAAATTTGGCAGAAACTAGGTTATTTGATCAGGGCAATGCACACAAGGATTACCTAGCTAAGGGAAGGGATTCCTACGTGGAGGACTTTCTATGGAAAAATGGCTCATATTCTTGTTTCACATGGGAAGAACCAACCATGCAGTCTGGGATTAAATTCTCCTTATTCAGCAACCTTAAACTATTCAACCACTATTCAGGCAGCCAAACCTGGCAGAGGGAGGAAATAATCTGCTTTGACCCATGGAAAATGTTGTTACATCATTGCAGAAAGAGAAGAGTAATGGTGTTTGAAGCTGCAGTGCATGCACAGTTGCTCAATGCTGACATGCCTGGCAGAACAATTTTAAAAAAATTACAAAGTGTCCTGTGATGTTATCCATACAAAATTACACACATTCAAGAGTTGCTTTCTGCTCACTTGTCACAATGAGACATTTTTGCCCTATAATTTCTTGCCTGGAAGGAGAGGATTTGCCTTGGAGGGACGGCCATGATATATTTTGTGGACAGATAAATCACTGCATGGTGAAGGTTCATGGTGGTATTTATTACTGGGCCTTCCTGAATGAGATAGGTTTTGCATGCACTATTCCACTACTGGCCAACAAACAGCAGGAAGGTTTTGCATGCACTATTCCACTACTGGCCAACAAACAGCAGGAAGGTTTTGCATGCACTATTCCACTACTGGCCAACAAACAGCAGGAATTTCTTTTGTGCAACCATATCATTCTGGCTTTTCAATAGCATTAATGTGTGAATAGCACTATTAAGCGAAATGGTGCTTTTTCACGCATTGCAACACCAGTGAAGAATTGCTAAATATCCTTTCTGGAAACTATGAGCCCTAACTTTCCAACAATCCGGCCACCATGTTCACCTGACCTTTAAACTCTGTCACATCTTACTTTGAGGGTACCTCTAAAATGTGTACAATGATCAGAAAGTGAAATTGGCTGAAGGAACGAATTTCACAAGCCCATCCAAACTACCACAATTAATGCACACTGATCTGCTGTAAAACATGCTGCTTTACAAAATAGAATAGACAACATACTACTAATTTCTTGCATCATGACTTCCTTTTCATTAATTCCTAAATCATGTATTATTAACTAAATTGACATGTTCTACCAAATGACAAATATTTACCTTTGATTATTCATTATTAATATCATGAAAATTATCTTAGTATTAATTACTACTTTATTATTAAAATTCCCATATTAGACAAATAGTGTCATCTATCAGTGCATTTTGGAAGACAATTTTTCCCCTCCTTGCAAAGTAAAAATTTACTGTTTCACATATATTCAGGTCATTTTGACTAGTTTCTAGCTTTTGATTTGAAATCGGAACTTTAATTACAGTTCTTGACATTGAAAATGCAACACCAAAAAGAAGTGGCCAGAAAATGATGAAACTTGGCAAACAGAGAGAGGCAGGCAATGAACAAGAAGTGATCATTATTTTAAAATGATATGCAGAGGGAGAACGGCGTCGGCTTACTAGGTTGTCAGACCACCTTGGACGGCAATACACGAAGCAACACATCTAGGAACGGAGTTAATGAAACTACAGATGGTGTCCTGAGGAATGGTCCTCTGCATTCCCTGGCAACCATTTGCCACAATTCCTCTTCTGACAGTGGCAATGGCAGTTTCTGCAAATTGCATCCAATCACATCCGAAATGTGTTCGATCGATGACCAGGGAAACATCTGTACACCTTGCAAAGCATGTTGGCTGATGCAGGTAGTGTGTGGTCAAGTGTTATCCTGTTGATAAAGGGCACTAGGGCATGCCCTGAAGGTAGGGGAGTGTCACTGACTGCAGCTCATCATCCATGTATCGTTGAGCCATTATTAGTGCCCTGAATACGAACTATAGCTGACATGGAATGGTACACAATTGCGCCCCAAGCCATGATGCCACGTTGCGTTGATGCACGGTGAGGCGTTCCACAATTGTTACTGGATTGGCTTGTCGGTTCATTAAAATAGGCACTTTATTTATATTAGGAGAGTTTTAAGAATAAATACTGTCAAAGGCTCTTGATTAACAATTATATTAATTTCAAAATTTAAAAGTATTTTAATGGTAAAAAATATTAATTAGTACATATATTTATATGCTTTTTTATTTAATCAATGGTAAAAAAAATATAAACTAGTACATAAATTTATATGTTTCAATGAAAACATATAGAGTACATCAATTTTAAATTAAAATTCCATATATTGAGTTAAATTCATATTCTAATATCTTCTGTAATATGATAAGTCCATTTATTCTAAATAAAAATTCCATGTAGTGACAGAAGTTACTGTTAACTCCTTGGCTATATTTTATGCAAATGAAAAAAAAAAGATAATTTCTTTCAACAAATTAGCATTTACTCGCATATCTGACAGAAAAATTCCTTTTTACACTAGTCATTAATTTTTGCAGTGAAAGAAGAAAGCACTTGTTTCTAGGACAGAGATCATACCACACCTAACTTTCAATACTCATAAAAAACTATTTTTAAAAAATAAAATTTATTTATTGCCTTTAAGATTTGCTTTAAGGATCTCCAGAATCCGTATTCTTTTCATACTCTAAAACATCTAAAAGGAAAACAATTTTTAACTGAATCTCAACTACTGATGAGATTCCGAAGGGAAACTCAACCAATACCCGCGTTGAGTAATACATAGCACATCATATCAGCAGTGAAAAGTGCTAACAATTACCGAACTAATAAACTACGTCCCTTATAACTTGCAATTAAAAATCAAATCATACGAAGATTCTGTGAAGTCATTAATTTCTTAAAATTCTGCAAATATAATGGTAAATATAACATTTGTCTTCCCATAACTGTTAGAAACTGACGGCCACTGAAACACACAGTAATTTTCTTGAACACCTCTAACTGTATTTTTTTTTTTTTTTTTTTTTTTTTTTTTTTTTGATACTTACGTTGCATTACAATTTACACTAGAAAATCATTCAAGTAATACTTACTAAATATATCAATTACCAAAGTTAAATTACTACAGTATTTTGCTTAGAATTAAAAAGTTTTCGATGCAAACCTCTCACAATTACACTCCCCAAGAATTTACTAAAGCACAGGAAATGAAAGCGGAAATTTACTGACTTGCGCATTCTTTGTCAAAGAATCTAAGGAGAGAATGAAAGCTTCCATAGACGCAATGCAAACCTGTTTCGCCTCTGCGCCGCTATATCGAGGAGCCACGGCTATGCAGTGAAACAGCAGCGCAGGGTGGAATTTAAATAGCGCAGTCCGAGGAGATAGTAATTTTTTTTTTTTACTTTGAAATTCCTTCAAAATGCTTTTATTTGCATACATTTCAGATAAATTGTGTAGCTGATCTTTTATCTTCTAATCTTTAATCGTCTAGATAATTCGCATAGAACATCCTAAAATTCAATTGCAAAATAAATGAAAAAGAAGATAAATAAATAAATAAATTTTATTATTTTTATATTCCTTATTTTTCCCCCTTAACCCTTCTTTCTGTAAACTCACATAATTGTTATTCTTTTGATATAATATCTAGCATTAATTTATAACTAAGATCAGAATTAATAGAAAACAAAATTAACTACTACTGCCGTGGTGTTAGATTTTCTAACAAATCTGCAATTAATTACATAAATAACGCTATTTTTCTTTTCATATTAAGCATATTTAAATATTAACAAAGAAAAACATTTGAGTAAAAAATGATTTTATTGACATTTTCAAGTTTCAGAAATTAGCAAAAATTTTAAATACAAGAATTTTTAGCATTTGGTACCATTTGAAACGAGAATTGCAGCCAAGAACAAAGTCGCTGTATTGTTTGCGTATGGTCCCCGTTTCGGGGTCCACAAAATTCTAGTTGTGGTTGACAGTAAAATGTTCAATGCCGGCATATATCGCAGTTCATCCAACTTATATGATTTCTAGCAGTCAGTATAAATAATGCTTCCTTCTGTGACATTTTCCTTTATGATGTTCGAACATCAGTGGCCGAGCGATAAAGTCGCTGAACACTGGTAGTTCGGTCTGAGGTTTGAATCCCGCAAACGGGCTGGCTGTATGGACAATTTAATGGTTTTCTCTATGTGTAACGTGTATACAAGCCAGTTTCCCTTAGAAAGTCCTCCACGTAGGCCTCTCTTCCCTTAGGGAGATAGCCCTCGAGGCTTTGCTCTAATCACATAAACCAAACCAAACCTTTATGATGTTCCATAAGGTTTTCACCGATCGATCTGATCTGGAATAGCGACTAAAACATTCTTTTGATTCTCTGCACAATCCACAATCCACCGAAAACCCATTGTGGCAGAAGAAGACGTCCAATGTTATTTCTTGCTTCTACTGAAAAGGCTTTTGTCTGCTTCATAATTTTTTCCACATCCGCCGAATTTCAACTTAGGCTGAGAAATTAAAGCTATGGCACACACCTCACGCATATCTTCCAGTCTACAGTTGTATTGTGGTTCATCTTCAGTTGGAGTTCACAAAATTCAATAGATGTCATCTCTTGATACCAAAAATAGGTGAGCCTGCCTATCAGTTATAAGGAAGGGGATTTTTGTTCCTTCGATCCAATATCTGACTTCTTAATCCTTTCTTCAGAATACAGGTTCATTCCTGCACCTCCATTTCGCTATTGAGTTACCGCTAAAGCATAATTTCATCTCGTGGTTTTTCGATCATAATATTCTATAATGAATGATGTCTTTTCTTTGGAAAAATTATATTGCAGACATTTTGTCATTGGGCAATTCCCAAATTGTTAGATCCATATCATTATCAAAAAAGAATAAAAAAAATAAACCAGTATTCCAATGGCGACTTACAAATATTTCCCCCCCCCCCAACGGCGGGCCTTCAGGCTTGGCCACAACTAAGGCCCAGGTGGTGGTCACTTTATTATGGAGGCACCTAATAAACCAATAGGGGTGTGCGGAAAAATCTATGAAGGAACCAGCAGTTATAACCATGCCTTCTCCGGAATTCGAGCCTAGGCCTTGTAGTATATCGCAGTCAGCTTCCCTAATCAATATATCGTGTGGGCGATGACTTACAAATATAGAACTATTTAAATTTACGTGGTGTGAAATCGCCGCTTTCGTTAGATTTTGCGCATATATTTTTGCTGCAATTTGCTACGGCCCCTATAATGGAATTATACTACACAAAAGTACTTTTATTTTTTTTATTTGAATCGTGATGTTTTATACGATAAATAACACCAAGATTGAAAAATTCTTAAGCATACAAGTCTTGCACAATGAAAATATTTAAATTACCTTTGCAAACCTAACTTAACATACTATGTCACTTTATGTTTCTCTTTATATAAGTAATGTACAATTTTCATTATTTATAATATAATAAATTATGTTGATTTAGGGCCACTTTAACCCTGCAAGAAGTATAAATGTATACTTAAAACAAACAGTTTAAGAAATTGTGATTTTAAACATAGCATTAAGAAAATATCATCCAAATATAAAAAAAGTTGCTTTTTACTGATTCTTGAATTTTTTCAGTTTCGTTTCCTCCTCATTTCTTTCAAGTGAATTTGAAGGAATGTTTTGTACATAATTGTTCAAACATATATTTAGAAATCCTGACGACACTCATGTTTATTATCTTGTACAGCAAATTACATTCACAGCATCTTTTATTAATACGTACATACTATATTACAAAAATAACTGAGATGAGCCTCAGTTATTTTTGTAAGAAGCTGATGGTGTAGATGAAATGCTTTTCGTACTTTTCAGATATAATAGTCTGGAAAAGTAAATATGCAACTGATATCAATGCCACCATATTTTCTGCTGGGTCTTTGAAACCTCCCAAATTTTACAGTATCAATATATACATAATTTGTTTCCACTAATGTTCCATTTTTTCCGCCAAGATGCAGAAATCTATGCAAGCACTTTAGTTAGTTTCAATATTACTTGCACAATAAACAGCAATTGTATGTGAAAACTTCTGCAACAGTGTCTGAAACTGCAACCAATTTCACCGACCATTGGAAATAATTTCATTGATTAATACTTTTATGAACTTCTTTTACATCTGAAACTTCTGTAATAAACTGTTTTAGAGAGATGTATCGATAGGAATTAGAATGAAGCTGAAGAATAGACTTCAATTAAATTTTTTTTCTTTTATATTCCAGGATTTGCTGTACTGAAATATAGTAACTGCCTTCAGACATCTGATGAAAAATCTGTACTCAAATTTGTGAGTTTGAAATTTACACGTTAAAATTAATTTTGACCTAATTACTAAAAGTTCTTAATTCTATCGATGATAGCATATATAGTGTGAAAAAGAGCAAAAAATATTTCCTTGCGTAAACATTTGAAATGACTTTTTTTATTATCGTTGTTATTAATCTCACTGACAACACCTACGCTAATTCAAATGAAACGCGCGAAACGCTGGCGAGAAATTACAATAGGTTTACCATCATTTGTTGGCGATAAAAAGAAACGGCGCATGCGCAGTTCGTTCAAAAGATTTTCTCATAGGGAGCCGTTCACAGCCATCCCTGTTTTGAGCCGCTAGGCGAACTGCTTTCTTCATTTCCACTAGAAAGGAAAGATGTTGCCCGGGATAAATTTTGCACTTTGTTTTCTTAGTTTTAACGTATAAACTGTTTTAAATCAAACTTCCGCCAGTTTTCAACCTGGTTTTCTCTTGCTTTACCAAGATATCCGTATAGCCAGGGCTTAACTTGCGTCGGAGCCCACCGGAGGCTGGCTCATACTTATTAGTTTAGGAAAAAATTCATAATTTTAGCCGGAGCCCTAAATAAGAAGGCTTTGGCACTTCTTTTATGTAAAACTGAACAATAATTTCAGTAGAAACCTGGTCTTGGAAGCTTTATTTTTAATAATAAAATTATATTAAAAACTAGGTGTACCCGCCCGGCGTTGCCGTGCATTTAGAAAATGCAGATAATGAATAGCGCAGGAATAGTAGTGTAGGACATGTAGACTGTCTCTCTCTCTCTTCCTCCCCCCCCTCACAAGCTACAAAAAAGAAATGAATTGTAATTAATCGATTTAATGTATCGTCAAACAGCAAACGAACGCTAGAATAAAGAAATCAATTGTTACAATCGAACGTTATTTGAAAACAAATAATAATATCAGTGAAGTCAAAAAAACCGTGATTAATTAATTATAAATAATTTTTTTTTTAAAATTTTCTAATTCAAAATCGAAAATCGGGCTTCGAGGTCTGGTGCCAGCCCCTTTGTGCTTCCGTATAAAAATTCCAGGTCCCCTGCGTGCGATAGATTTGGCTGGAGAGCTCGGTCAGACAGACAGACACACATTACACTTGCTTTTATTATTATAGATTGCTTATTAATTCTAATTTATCACTTTGCATTTTATTAAATTTTAATTATTTAATTACTTTAACCATTAATTTTTTTTAATAATGAATTATTTAATTTTTTTAATTGTTAATGATTTTATTAGTCATCTTATTCTCTATTTATTCTTGTTCCTCTTCCTGAAGGTCGTCTATAGGGCTCTGGTACTTCTAATTTTGAAATTAAACCCTGTGTATAGCTGACCGTTTTGTTTTTCTAATATGCTTCCTTAGGAATTATGACAGCCATATACTGGTAAAATAAAATGCCTTAGACCATTTACCAAAGCAAAGATCCGAAATGGTTTATATGGTAAATAAGAGAGTTCGTAAGGAAGGTTATATATGTAAGAATGTCGTTTGGTATGAAAACTTCTTCAGTTTTTCATAAAGGAAATTGGATAAAATGCAGATATTTTTTCCCCATGAGAGAAAAGTCCTAAAACTACTAAAACCTACTTCAACTGTTTTATTTTGTAAATGAAGATAAAATAGCGCCTGATATGTGTATGTACTAAAGAGGACTTCAATTATTTAGTGAAATAAATAAGGACAAAATACAAAATTTGAAATTGTAGTTTAAAATAGGTTTTTATTTGATTAAAGCACTCGAGAGCTAACTGCCTACAGGGAAGAATGCCTTCCTGGAGAACTTTCTAAGGGAAACTGGCTCATATACACGTTACACATGAGGAAAAACACGAAAACGCCTATGCAGCCATCCCAAATCATGTTTAGAATAAAAATTAATTTGTTATTTACTATCATTTGCGATTGTTAGTGGTAAATATGTATTGAAATCCATTTAGAGCAAGATCTGCAAAGAAATGAATGCGGAAGAATCTAAATTCTCAGAAGAGATATGCAATTATCTGATTATAATCAGTAGAATGTGCTTTGAGTTAATCCATATTATGTAACGTTATCAAGTGGCTAAAAGTATAAAACACTGGTAATTAATTCTCCTTTCCTTGATTTGTAGTAGTTGAATGAAATGATCATAAGGTAATTTCATGACAAAGAAGCACTTAAAAGTCTCATATGCCTGAAATCTGTTTGAATGTTTAGTCATAAGGGTACAAGATCTCAAAATATATGTTAGAATGTGTCCACGGTCAAAAAAGGGTTGGAGTAACTCCTATACATTTTGTGTTCATTAAATAATCTTGTACAAATGATTAGGTAAAGGTTTTTAAGTCTTTTGCCATTAGTTGATCATTAGCATGCTAATATAGTCTAACTTCATGCTTATTTTTACCCTATGTATCAATGATTTCTTATTATATACAGATAATATTAAGTTTTCGTCGTTATTCATACTGTCAATAAATCAATATGAAGAATACATTTGTGATTTAAATTAAAAACGATTAGTTCAGTGTTTACAGATTCATGTGATGTAATGAAAGTTTATAATAAAATTAAGAATATTCTGTGGTTTATTTTCTTAAATGAAACTTTGTTTTTCCTCTGGAAAAAAATCCAAATAGCTTTATGTAAGAATCATTAAAGAGATCTTCATCAATAACAATGTGTTAATTAATGAAAACTATATACTTGTGTATATCAATAATATTTTCAACTTTGAAATCTGTGTATAAGCCTTAGTAATCTCAAGGTGTGAGATTTATAATGTTGTAATATTCTGAAAAGTCACTTGACTTTAATATGTATGCAAGTTTCATGAAAAATTAAAAGCTGTATAATTGCAATTTGCATCCATACATAAAAGCAAGAGCTATGTATACATAAATTCTACAGTTTTACTACTGTGTGGAGCAAATCAACAAAAGCATTATCAAAGCATCACTATCAACAGTTTCATCACAAAACAACTACATTGCAGAGCATGTTTCCAAAGTATATCAATTTTTTAAAGTACTGATTCTACTGAAAATGTATTGTTTACAAGATAAATAAATAGCTCTTGCATGCTTCGCCACTTTATAAAATTTTTAAAGATTTTATTTTTATTTCTGTTATTGGTTGTCATATATCTGCATACTTTTGCAGCCCAATGATTTATTTATTTACTGTATGAAATTTATTAATCAATTCTCTTGGAATAATTTAAGTTTTCACTATTCATAAATTGTTATTGTAATCACTAGCGATTCAAAAATGCTCGAATAACAAAATACAGTAGCATTTTCAAAAACACTAAGATTTACACTTATATGAATTTAAGAATTTTAAAGCACTTATTATATTTTTGTGGCATTTTTAATCATTTTTATTTAAGAAATACCAGCACACTCTGATTTGTCAGCAGATACTGAATTATGATTTTCCTTTGTAATAATCAAGTGCGATTGTTATTCCTATTATGTTCTCTATCTGTATATGATGTTACTATCTATATTTGACTGAATCTGTAACTGCATATTTCATGCTGAAACTTTTAGTTCTTTTGCACATATTGTTGTGATACGTCCTAATAAACACATTATATGTCGATGTTTTGTAAAATGATGTTGCTAACTGTACTGTATGTGTACCATCAACTGGAGAACTTTACACTAATAATTTAGTAGTGAAATACTGCGACAGAATATGAGATCAAAAACTGATTAATAAATTACTTGTGTAACTAGCAAGGATGAAGTAGTGACAAGATTAAGAGCATTTTAAATTTATATACTGTTTTTAATTCATCATATTTTAATTTATAAACTATTTAGAGATTATTTTATATACAATATATTTACATGATGAGATATCAATATATGCATGATCAAAAGAATCATGAATTATAAGAGTTTTCATTATTTCCAATGGCATCTATAGCAGCTTTCTTGTATGAAGTTGTTGCAATATTTTCAGTACTGCATGGACTTTTTCTTTTCTTTCTCGTAGAAAAAGAAATTCTTTTGTTTCTCTGCTTTTTTATTTGTAGGTTCATAGTTCACCATTTTCAATTTCGGCTTTTCGTTCTTTAATTTTGTAATCACTTTATTCAGTGTGTTTTTCAATATCTCCCAAAGTTATATTATTTACTGTTGTTGATGTTACAAGTTTTGATATGATACTCAGTTGATTTATAATATGGTGCTTGGTTCCTGATTTTTTTAAATTTTTGTGCTGATAGATCAAGAAAGGAGTTTTACATCATTTGATTCTTTAGTTTTAGCTGACTGTTCTCTATTAAGTAATCTTGTCTTTAAAATTATTGCATGTATATGTTTACAGACACTTCCTTTAATCGTGGCATCTGTGCATGTGCATACAAATGCATCGTTACAAATTTTGCACCATTTACAAACAATGTTACAATTAATGCATTGTGTATGTATTTGAGTAACAGTATATTCAAGAGTAGGGTCACTTTCTGAAATCACATGCCAAGAAAACTCATTGATTTCTGTGATATTATTAGCTGGAAAATTTATTGCTCTGTTGTGTCGTAAATTTGTTTGGTTGATCTTTGATGTGTTTGGCCCTTTTGTTGTTTTGATAAATCTCTGGAACCATTTATCTTGCACCATATTAATAAGCTTCGCAATGCACCTATCAACCCTCTTGTTTTTCAATCCATCAAGATAAGAATATTTTAAAACTCGATGCAGTGCTTCAAGATGATTGTTAGTTGTGATGTTACATCTTTTTCTATAACATTTAGCCCACAACTCGCATCTGTTTGCATAATTTGAAGCAAAATAATTAGCAAACTTGTCTGTATCTCTATCAGCAAAGAGTTTGCTGAGGAAATCAGATATCAGTGCTTCAAATTCTTTTATATCATGACATTCAGATACTACATTTAAAAATTTCAAAACTTCCTTTCGCTTTGAGGGGATAATTGAATTTGCTGCTTGCAGCCATGCCTTTTTAACGTGCCAGGTGCATAGAATCCTAAATTTGGCATCACACATTACTGATGTCCATGCAGTATAATATACTGGTGCATCATCACTCATAAAGCAGTTTACAGACAGCAGTCCAACTTTGTCCCTAATACACTGAAAAAATTTTTGCATTGAACCTAAATTTACTCTATTATTGCTTAGGCAAAAAGCAGCAGGAAATCCTGAATTAAACTCGTCTATGACTAAAACTGTCGATAATTGAAAATCGTAAGCATTAGTCCCATGTGTGCTATCGATGCATATGCTATCGGATCCAAACTTTAAAAGCATATGCTTTTGAACATTTGTCATTATGATGATGCAGAAGTCACTAATTTCCAAGTGCTGATCTGCTGCTTCTCCTTGGAATTTTACAAAAAGAACTGAATTATCATCTAAACATTTCATTTTTTTCTATCCAGATCCTTAAACTGACAGCATCAGTTGGATGATATTGTTCATCATTACCAATACAGTAAGAATTAGAAATGTTATGTATGTCTTTTTTTTTTGTCAATAAATGCTCCCTGTAAATGTCTTCTTTAATACTATTCCTTGTGGAATCTAATATTTTCTGTGGTGGAATGCCTTCATTTTAACTTACCTGAAAATATTGCATTTATATGATAATGTTGTATAATAATGTCTGTTTTATATTGAATTTCACAATCAAGTTCATAAAGAAACTTACCTGCAATCACTTCTCTTCTCGCAAATCTTTTGTTAACGGCAAATGTTCTAGATCTACTGTGTGTCCCACGTGTGTTTGGAAATATAAAATCTTAATAATGCCATTACTGGTAACTTCAATAGTAGATGGACAGTGCCCCTCTATTTTGCAGGTACCTTGTGATTTTATAGCTCTTACACCTTTACTTTTAGAATTATAAAATCCAGATCAATTACAAAGGAAGTAACTCTTTTTCCCTCTTTTTTCCCACCTTCTTTAAGAGTTATTGTACTTCTCAAAAAGTAAGAAATTTTTTTCCCTTCGTTCTTCCTCACTTTTCCATTGTAAGAAATCTAAATTTGAAGGGTAAACATTAGCCTACATACAATATAAAAGCCCATTATAATTGTGAACTAGTTAATCTTTAAAACAAAATTACTAATTTAAAACTAACCAAAATCTTATTTTGGCACTGATTGTAAATAGATACTGGTCACTTTAGCAGAACTTTTTTTCTCTTCAAGAAGAGAGACCTGTGTCTAATTGCTCTCAAAACTGATAGTTTTATTTAAAATCTACACTGAAATAAAGTTGTCTAATTTTAAGTCAGGGGCGTAGCTAGAGGGGGGCATCTGTCCCCGGGCGCAGAATCCAAGGGGCACCAAACTGATGTTACAACATTTTAGAATTACATGTTTTCCATCCTTGGCAAGCAGTAGAGGGCCGAAACCTTCAGTTGTCCCTGGGCGCTGAAAACCCTAGCTACGACTCTATTTTAAGTTGTACATTGGCATATTTTTCTTCCTTCCTATTTGACAGTTACTAGTACTCATGTTCCAGCTAAACAAGACTTAAAACATATTCCCCAAAGTTGTATAATAATGCAAGAAATTTATTCTTAAGAGACAAATTGTCATCAGACATTTTCCATAACATGAGTGTCATCTGGCCTATGTCTAAAGTAAAAAAACATTGTAGCCTGTTTCTTGATAACTGATACAATGTGTATAGGTTATTAAAATTTTAAGACATTGAATAAATTTCTTTAAGTAGTTTTAAAAAATAACATATAATAAATTTTAAGCCTCATTTACATATAATAAAATAAGTGTCTATCATTATGATACTAAACTTACGATTGAAGGTTGCCACTTTAATAAAGATTTTAACAATTTTTTTATTAGGTCCACATTATTTTTGATATCTTCATCATACATATGCATTAAGAGATCCGTTTGTGTAATAACAGGATAGTCTTTTTTTTTTAATGAAGCACTGAATTACATGTATAAATAATTATGTAGCAGTACATCTCTATATATGTTTTTATTATTTAGAAAATGTTTACTTCATATTTCAAATAGTTGAGGAAGAGAAATATTACTTAATCTTTGAAATATTTTTACTGAAGAATAATGGGGGTTTATCAGGCTAACAGAAAAAAGCAAGATGCTAAGGAAATTATTCTGTTATCAATTATACTCACAAAAATAGATGTATTTTATTCCCCAACTTGATGAATGAATTTGCAAAAATAGTAATTTGTACTCAGTTTGGGGCTAATTCAAATTAAAAACGTTTATCGCAGAAAATGCAAATTTCTAATATCTTACCTTCATATGTATTAAATGTCATTTCAACGGAGTTAAGAGTGTATCCATGTTGATCTCTTGCGTGATTTCTTAACTCTTCAAACGTTCTACATGAAAAATTGCAGGCATTAATAGGACATTTCAAATTTCCTTCAGCCACAACAGGTACTTTATGTACTTCCCGAATGTGTTCATATAAAACCTTTTTCTTTTTGTACTTTTTGCAGCAGTACATACATTCAAATACTGCTATCTTTTCATATTCCATTGTTATAACAAAAAGTTATGTACTACAATAGAAAATAAAAAAACTTATTTTGTCATCAGAAATATTAAAAAATGAATAAAAACTGTAGCATATATTAAAATATTTAATGTTTGACACAAAAAAATGGTAGCATATGATATTAAAATATTTAATGTTTGACACAAAAAAAATGGTAGCATATGATATTAAAATATTTAATGTTTGACTGAAACTAACACGGTTTGCTATTCTGAAACATTTTTCATTTTTCCTTTGTTCAACAAAGGAAATTTCCGCTAAATTTATCTGTTCTCAAAAGGCAATATATGAAAAATAAATAGATTACAAAAAGTTTGTCTCAAAAATAAATACTTTACAATAATTTGTAATCACGTGTTTAATTACAAGCAAACAATATCTAAATTACCAATTAAAATATTTTATCAAAAAACACTTTTAGCTCGCCAAAAAATATCACTGCAGAGCTCAGAAAACAAGCAACCGAAAATGGCAGTAATCCTGTGGTAATCCAATGCATGAAAAAATTCGGATTCATGTCAAAAATTTACCCCCATAGAATATAAAGCGAGCAAATTAAAATTTGCATATATTACCGATGCACACTAAGAGGAGCTTAACATAATATTTTTTAAAAGTTTTTAGGTTTTATAATTTTTTTTGTATTTTATATTTTATACTACTTTTTTTGGTTTTTATAAATTTTTTTATACACATACAACACTAAAGCAAAAGCGGAGAGGAAAGATTTAAGATTAATAGGCTCATTGGCATGTGGCTTGTGTAGGATAGTGCAAATAATAAATATGAACGCGTTGAAAATATTCATAGGCAGATTTTAAAAAAATCTGCGGGAGATGTGATTCTATGCGAACAGATTGATAACTTTGCTTGAAGATCTTGGTTGCAGGTAGAGATGGTAATAAGCAATTATATGGCAGCTCGCTGAAGAGACTTCCTTCCTTCATGGCGCGGGAGCTGGAACTGATGTAGCCAATGCCAATGATTTGAAAATTACGGAGTTCCTATGGTTCAAAACCATTTACCTCCTCATCAGAATTACTAAAAGCGAGCAGAAATGAGAAAAAATTTTGCATAAGTGAATTACTTGATGCACACTAGAGGGAGCCACTGGCTCAAGAAAGTTTAGGGATAGAGATGAGATAATAAAAACTTAAGAATCATAATATTTTTTAAAAGTTTTTAGGTTTTATAATTTTTTTGTATTTTATATTTTATACTTTTTTTTTTTTTTTTTTTTTGGTTTTTATAAATTTTTTATACACAATACAACACTAAAGCAGAAAGCGGAGAGGAAAGATTTTAAGATTAATAGGCTCATTGGCATGTGGCTTGTGTAGGATAGTGCAAATAATAAATATGAACGCGTTGAAAATATTCATAGGCAGATTTTAAAAATCTGCGGGAGATGTGATTCTATGCGAACAGATTGATAACTTTGCTTGAAGATCTTGGTTGCAGGTAGAGATGGTAATAAGCAATTATATGGCAGCTCGCTGAAGAGACTTCCTTCCTTCATGGCGCGGGAGCTGGAACTGATGTTGAGACTGACTGACTGACTGTTTGTATATTGCCAGAATGCAGCACATGGCCGCTTGTCTGGCTCCATAAATTACCATGAAGGCACATCGCAGTAGTACAATCATCAGTTTAGAGAGGTAGTTGGTAAAAAGGGGGCCAACATCGCAGACCAAGCAAGGAGACGATCATGGACAGACGGGTAGTGTGTAAGTCATCATGTGCAATAACGAGAAACATAAATACAAAAACATAAATACAACTTTTAAAATAAAGATACAATCATAAAGTAAAAAATAATATAAATTACAAGATGCTTACAATATTTACAATACTTGATTATGTTGGAAAATTAGAGTCGTGAGTGAGGTGCCGCGAGAGGTCTCCAGTTTTTCGTCGTCAGAGAGGATAATATACTTAAAAGTATCAAATATAGCAAGATGGTCACAGTTAGTGCTTTATTAAAAAATTGTGTATTCAGCTTGTGCAGATGTTCTTAATTGAATGGAGTTGAA